CCCCAAAACCCCAAAACCCCAAAACCCCAAAACCCCAAAACCCCTGGAATAAGGTGGATAATTGAAGAATTAATTTTAATGAATTATCTTAAGAAAGGCTTGTGGTCATTCACCACCTTCATCTTCGCATCGCTTAAGTACGGGTTGTATTGGTTCAGAGGATTAGTAATAGGGTTGTGGTGGTTAGGTCGAGGATTTAGACTATATGAGTTCCTCTTGTGGTTACTGAAAGTATTTCGTGAGATTGGTTTGCTTAATGGAGGCAATTCTCCGTTTGAAGAAGCTGCATGACTTCTATCGGTGAGAGAGCCCTCAGGCTTCTGTGAAAAGTTTCTCTTCTTTTTGTATAGAGCTTTTGAGCCCACGTTATGGGAGTGATTTATCCCGGGTATTAAGCAGTTAACATTGTGATCACCATGTTTATATCCATGTAAATCAGATCTATTCATTCTATTTTTCAACCTGAGTCATTGTTCCATAGTTCTTACCTTCCATCAGCTTAATCTGCTTATTGAGGAGGTCTTTATACATACTTTGGTTCTCGATGGCTTGCTCTTTTTCTAATTTCTCTAGTTTCTGGTTAAACTCTTCCTGTTGGAATCTTCTTTCCACACTTTTTCTCAAGTATTCACCATCTCTTGCTCTTTGCTTTTGTTTTCTCTCTATCTGTTCTTTGACAAAATCGAAATTTTTCTTTTCATCAAATTTCCCATTATCGTCTTTTCTCTGTTGTATGAGTTCGGTGATACTACAGTTTCCTTCCCAGTTTGGCTTCCTACTAGTCCCGTGTGTTTTGAGATAATTTTCATGATGCTGGACTCTGCTCTTATGCTTGTTCTCATAGAGGCTGAAGATGTTACTTATATTCTTTTTCATTCTGCACCTCCTTCTCAGCATTTTTCTGAATCATTTCTTTATAAGCTTTATTCTCTTGTTCTCGGAGATTAGCTTTCATTAAACTCCGCTGTTTTATAAGATTCTCTTGATCATTCTTTAATTGCATTTGTGCCATTTTCTGCTTTAGCCTTTCCTCAGCTTCAACCTTTTCCAGGTCAGGAAGGTTGGCATGGTCTTCATTAATACTTTTAAGTTTATCTTCTATTCTTTTCCTTTGGCGGTCAGCCATTTCTCTGATGTAAGCTTTTCCCATGGCCTTTCGAAAGCTCTTGTCTTGCTTATTCAGCTCATTTTGCTGATCAGCCATTGTTTTTGCATTAGAATCGGCGATTTCTCTTTCATCAACCTTAAGAGAATACTCCTTCTGTTGTTCCTGGTACTTCTGTTCATTAAGAGCTCTTAGCTCAGCCATATAGGAATCTTGGACATTTCTTTTCTGTAACTTGGCCGCTTGCGCTTGGTGGTTAGCTGCAGAGATCTGTGAGTTAGCAATAGCAGCCCATTCGTCAACCTCACCCTTCTTATTAAGTGGGTAATATCTCTTAGTGTCAGGATGCTTTCTCTGGCCTCCGTTCAGCTTGGGTACATAGTCATGTTTGACTCCTTCTGCTCCTACACGAAGAGGATCATTTATATTCATGTTATAATAATATTTAATTTCCCTAATTCCCAAAATTTTAAGGGGTTTTGGGGTTTTGGGGTTTTGGGGTTTTGGGG